ATTGAGTTATATTGGACTGGCTCAAAATAAACTGAACCAGTTCAGAAGAAATTGAACTGGTTCAAAATCATATTGAACCTGAACTACAACAGAGTCACCAGATAAATTCTGATTTTTTACTCCTATAGCCAGGCTAAATGAAACAATGATTTTTTCTTAAAAATAAATTTAGCCTTTCTTGTTTAATCACCAAACCATGACTACATTCTATACCTCACCTGTTTTCTAGTTCAGATATATCAGCTTGTAGTTTGAGGTGCCATTTTTCTGCCTGACTAAAAACTTGTCTGAGTAGAAGAACATTRGTGTGTGCTGTGTTGATTAATTCTGATTCTACTTCTCCTTTCACAACAGCACAAAGACCAGTCAGCATTTCTGTTATTTCATCTAAAGTGTACGTATCTTCTACAAGCCTAAAAAAAACAATGTTTTGAAGAAAAGATCAATGAAGATAATTCTCTCCTCCCCTAAACCTTTCCAACAAGAATAGAATAGAATGGAATGGGATGTGATGGAATAGAAAGGATGGGATGGAATGGAATAGAATAAAATACCCCAAGTTTACTACCTGCTATCCTTAAGATCTTCAAATGCCCCTTCTATTCCTCTCAATCTTTGACTTCGATTGAACCTTGCAAAGCGCAAATAGTTRACAACATTCTTCTGGTGATGTTCGTTCAATCCTATATCCTGTTTTATAAAAAATGACTAATTTTACTTGCTGATAAAGGAACTGTCATTATTATCATATTGATCCATATTAGTCCCTGTTATAGTCCAGTCCCAGCCCCTTTTTGACCCGCTYGGTTAATGGGCTTCTYGCCCTTTTCYYCATCRAGAAGCCTCTTAACCAAGCGGGTCGAAATGGGASTGGGRCTGGACTATCCCTGTTATTGCTCTTTCAGGAAACTTTTGGAAAACAATGGCAATATCAGAGCTGTTACAGCTGGRCGCTTTAGAMACATTTTCACAAGGCATGGTAAACAASATGTATAACGTCGGGGGTGTGTTTTTGATATTGATAAAAAACATGTTCTACTTATCTAGTCTCTTTACACAGCATGATTTAGCCATGAAAACACTTTCAAACACTCATGATATAAAACGACGGGAATTTATAGTAAAATAGAAACTTTCCAAGGATTCCAGAAATTCCCTATCCATCCCACCAACGTTCAATTTTTTAGCTCTTATACTGGTACTTTTGTTAATTTTTTGGCTATTGACTGAATGTGGTTTGCTGTACCGGAAAATATATCGCTTAAGGTCATGTTGTACAGAAGGAGTGCAGCACTACGTTAATCTTATGCAATGCTACATTTGACAGGATTCATTTCACCAAATATGCAATTATTTAAAAATACAGATCAGAGTGTTAGAAAATACAGAAAGTTGATGTTTTCTTTATTTATCATTAATTGGGAGTTTTTATTACCATGGTTCCTTATATCCTAAATTGTTTTCTCAACTGAATAGACTATCAGCGTGTAGTTCAAGTGACCAAGTGTCCTAAGACACCATCAACACAGCTCAGAATAGCTAATCAGAAAGCTGGATTTGTAGTTTTGTGGATATTAGCCACTGCTCTGTGACCAAGCCTTAACATGGAAGTAAGGCAAGTAGAATCAAAACAAGGATCTTTATAAAGATTTCAGATTTTATATGCAATTACCATTAGGGATTCATCCCTTTTAACTCAAATAGTGCATAACGTAAATCTTTGAATTAATATTTTACAGGTGTATAGGATCTATTAATTAGCAAGTTTGTGTAACTTTGCCATCTCAAAATTCAGCTTATGGCAACTGTTGGAAGACTATGTTRATGTGCTTTGATTGGAAAATGAGATTGAGATTTGATTGAGATTCTGTTTATTTTCTTTAAAATGATCTTTACAGAAAGACTTATGCATCTAAAAATGAAAGTTTGTAATTATCAATCCTGACAAAATATTATAGATGCAGATAAAGTTTAGAAAATAAAAGTTGGTAAAATACAAAATATATGAGTTTTAAAGGAAGTCTTCCGCATAATAACCTTAAATGTAAAAACACATCGATCAAAATAAATACCAAGTACACGTATTAAATTAAATAGATGCCATATTCTTTGACATTAGAGAAAAAGATCGTGATAAATTTCGTACTGCAAAATGAATTTCTAATGTTTTATATTTAAGCTTATATCATTCATCAAGTTTGGTGAAAGATGGACGTCACAAAATTCAGCTGTTGCTGTGCTTGGTGTTTATTTATCCTCCACTTCAAACAACATTTACAGTTCAAATCGTATAAAACAAGCTAAAAGATAGATATCTTTTGCTGTGACACTTGTCAGGTTGATCCTGGAGTAGTGAACGATGATTTAACTTTATATTTTTAAAAAGGATTTGAATGAATTTTCAGTTCGACATTCCTTGATTTTACCCACCATTTTTGAAGATTAATAAAACTTTGACTTGATACCAAACAGTCTCCTTCTCTTCTTCTGTATATAATTATCTCTAAAGTGACCCAAAGAAGACGAAAACCTTAGAAATACTTTGAAATGTTAATATTTTATGCTGCCAAGTTCAGCCGCCATGACAGGACACCCGGTTCAGACGCCAAATTCGGGTGCATGGTAACCACGCTAGACAAATTTCTCTCCACCCACTCCCGCTGCGTAAAAAAAATATCACAAAAGCCCCAGTACCTCACGCGGTTCCYTGGCCAGACGTCCTGCTGCAAAATTTTGCTTTGTCATTCTTGGGATTTGTCAAGAACTTCAGACTATTCTCAACAAAGATGAGTTCAAAAGTTGCTGTGGTAAGTTTTATTTGGAGGCTTTTGTRTATTGCAGCATGATTCTTCTAGTCAACTGCAAGTCTCCTTATAATAAGCTTAGGGTGTAGACTATTTAGCTGCATTAACTTATAACTTATTTATCCTTCAGCATCTCCTACTTCGACAAATGACCCTAATTTACTTTACATTAAGTTATAGAACCTGTTGCTTTCGCATCCAGCGAATCAAAGATAAATTATTTGCATACATGTTTGTTGTTTGTTATATTGTCCAAAAGCCACATTGATATGTCTAAAACAATATATCTGGATAATGAAACCTAACCATGCATACAGGAGTATAATGCATACTATTAGATTATTGTGTAATGAATAATTCATCTCATTTATTAAGGTTACAGGATCCAACAAGGGAATTGGCTTTGCAATTGTTCGATCATTGTGCAAGCAATTCAATGGCACAGTAATTCTGACAGGTATAAATATATTTTATTCATTCTCATGATATAAAATATGCTGTCTAATCCTAAAAATATCACAGATGAAAATGTAAAAAAACTGCAAATAAGAAAGGAGATATAATGCTAATAATGAAGCTAGAGGTTGATCAGTCAATTGACAAAACTCTTATTTCTTTCCCTGTGAATCCAAATCATTCCAAGTTCCATCACACAAAGTTATGATGAATTAATATTTTTTCATAGCTCGCAATGAAGAACTAGGAAAAGAAGCTGTCAAAAAGCTTCAAGAGGAAGGTCTTAAGCCARCATTCCATCAGTTGGATATTTGTTCAAGTGAAAGTATCCAAAGGCTCAAGGAATATCTTCAAAAGACTTTTGGTGGACTTGATATCTTAATCAATAATGCTGGTATGGCTTACAAGGTAATAATCCTTGCACCTATAAACTGTATTTGTATAATATATCCCAAATTCTTGTAGTCTAACTGAGCATAATATATTAAGTACATGTAGTCTCAAACACAGAAACTCAYTACTTA